CAGTTGTGTTGTTTTACTGATCATGTACAGGGAAAGTTTTCTGTCCTTCTCCCTTTTTTCTCTTTCTTTCACTGTTTCTCTGCTTCCCCCCCTCCACCCCCATGGGTCCACCCCTCCTATCGCCCCACAGCGCTCTCATTTAGACTAATTTGTTCCGGCCTGTATCTCTTCTGCAGGCGAAAGCTGCTGATGCGTGTTTGACTTTCGCTCACCTTCCTAATTCCAGTCAGTTCCTCTGTGAAGTGCATGGGTGTTTATTCAGTCTGGTAAAGGGCAACAGGACACTGGTCACTCAGACCCATTCTGCTAATTAAGACAAATTATTCCATCAGCAGTGTCCATAGAATTAAACACACAGTTACACTGGTATTGGCTGTTCTGACACCGATAACAGCATATGTTTTTGTTTACTATGTTTATTCAATGAGGAGGGAAAAAAGGGTCACGTTCAAAAGACTTGTTTCTTTATCAGTTTCTTTAGTTTGTTTCTACTTGCCATCCACAGGTTACTGTTGTGATGCATTCATGGATGTAGCCTTAGTTTAAATAAATGTCCATCGGTCTTTGCCAATCTCAGATACTGACCCACAACCTTCAACTATATGGACAATGGAAGAAAAGCAATGAGACCGGTCATCCTCTTCCTCATGGTTTAATGCTAAATGAGCTAACTAAGCAGTATTTCTGTAAAATATCTTCAACTGAAAGATAATCAATCTGTTTTTTTTATAAGAATGTATTAAAATAATATATCAAAATCCTTATTCATTCATTCATCATTGTTTTACATAAGTTGCACAGACATGTTGTCTGTATTCGCCCCTATTTTCTAGTATCCATTCCCACTTGATGAAATATATGATCATACATATCCCAACACTGATCAATCACAAGAACAACTTCCCTGAAGTGTGACCCATAAAATAAAGCATCTCATCAATTCACAGTTCTGAGTTCATTTAGCATATCTCCTGAAGTGTTTGGGGAGTAACACTGGAAATGACACAATACATTCTTTCATCATGTCATATATTATGATGTTGATGGAATGATGATGAAGTTTTATAGAAATGACTCCCATTTTCTTACATATGTAAGCCAAGTGATTTTTTTCGACAATTCAAAAGACTTCTTACAACCTCTGCTGTAGACGACTGGGCTCTGATGTAATTCTAATCTCCAGTGATAATGTTGCTGTTCCCTTTTGATGGTTATTTTGGGTGGGAAATAAGAGCAGCCTGCATTTCTCTGTTGAGCTATTGTTGTATCATTGTGATATCCAGATCTATTTTCCCTCCCCCTCTATTCGTCTGACCTCATTATCAAGCACTTCAGTCTTAAGGGAACATCGCCTGAAGCAAAATAAAAACATGCTTTAATGTTTAAAGTCATGCTCATCCAAAAGAAATAGCCTCTTCCTTTTCTCTAACCAGGTAATAGATAACTGCCCAAGGATAAAAGATGGCAGAAACACAGAGCAAAAAAATAATTAGGGCATGAGGTGGAAAAGAGAAACTAGCTCAGTGTACTCAGTCTTTTTTTTTTCTTTTTTTTTTTTTTGAGGTGAAATAATTAACTTTTTGTGATTGCTGCATGGCCAGCATTCACAATGAGAAGTCTTGAAGTAATGATCAAGAGTTGTCGCCAGTTAAGAAAATAAATGGTTGTATGCAGATACAGGACACATTACCCTTTACACTTGTGTCCAATGTGGTCACAATGCATCCATGACCACCTTTGGAGGTGGTTTGACTGATCGGATCACAATCCGTCCTCCATCCGTGTGTTGGGTGCATGTACACCTGTACTTTCATGTGGTCAAGCACTATCTGATTGCAGTCTGATCACTGAAAATGCATGTTAATGCCAGGTGTAAATGGGGTGTAAGTTAGTGTGGTGCATGCACAAAGCAAGGCTATGCAAGTCTGGTTTTAATCAGCCTTGATTAATCTAATTTTTGATAGTGGAACAACTTCAGAAAAACAAAACAACTTGAAAAATGGAAAAAGTAAAGCTTTTATTTGAAAATAAAAAAGAACTTCTAGCTACAAATTAAAGTTTGCACCAGGACTGATATGCACATTCAAGTAAGCATCTCGAGTTTACATTTGATACAGGCTGATGTACCCCACCCCCTTGTTTAACCAGGAGAGCTGCAGTGCACACGTCACTGCCACGTTCTCTGCCTCTGTTGCTAAAATATGGACTAATATGTGTAAGTAAAACAAAATGAAAATTTGTTTTACACTCAGGTTGACCTTTGCTTTCAGTCAGTGTGTACAAACCTCTGTTCTTCCTATGACAGTAATGTCAAAATTATGGCTCATTATAGAGCAGGGTTTAAAAACACAGGTCTGTGCAGTGATTTTCACGTTCCTTCATCTGCTCTGCCGTCCTCAGCAATTTCACACATGCTAACCATGCTATATTATGGATGATGTACAGAAATGGATGGCAGTGCACCTTTTTTTAGTCACCGTGCCACCCCCTTTCCTTTCCTCATAAAATATTAATGTCAAAATTATACAGTCAGACATACAGTGTTTTCCAAAGACAGTCAGCACACCAGCGGAGCCACAACACAAGAAAAGACAAGAAGGCAACGTGACAGAATCAGCTGAGACTTAGACAAAATATCTTGGCGGGATCCATCAATTATGTCTTGACTTTTCTTGAATTGAAGGATTTTAGTAGCTGTGTTTGTGTAAAGTAGCACTGAGATGGATCATGAAAAGGCTCAGAGCAAGTTCCTTTTAATCATGTTCATCACTGATGCTGGTCACTACAAAATATTATACTTTTAAGTCCTGTACTGGAGTATCTCAACTTTCAGCATCTAATCACAGCCAGTTTGCTCTGAAAGATAGCTAATCCATAAATATATTGAACAAATCATCATCACAAACAAAATCTTTCTGATATCCATTCAACTATTAGCTATACTGATTTTCTTTGAAGGTTGCAGGGGTCTGGAGCCAGTCCCAGCTGGTGCTGGGTGAGAGGCGGGGTACACCATGGGCAGGTTGCCAGTCTATCACAGAGCTGACACACACAGACAAATAACCAGTTGTGCTAACATTCACAGTGCTACAGTCCCCAATTAACTTAACCTGAGGTCTGTGTTTACTTATTGGCCAGAAACCTACGGATAAAATCCCCAGACCATGTAGTTACCACTGAATCTAAAAATGTCTGTGTTCAGATGTAGCCTATGTTGACTGTCTCTAGGAGCTGTGTGCCACTGCTGTTGCAAAACTCATCTGTGATAAGAAGGAAGCCAAACTATCGTAACCTGCTGTTTTTATGGCCCCAGCATGCACTTGCCCCTCTCACCTCCTGCAAACCCTAATGGTACAAAATAGGTTATATTACAGGGGGAAAAAAACCCTAATTGGACAGAAAACTATTCAGTCTGGCAAGAGAGCAAATTACTGTGCTAGTTATGTTGACTGGCAGTCCACCAACTCTATAAGAGAATTACACCGTAATAATGTTTTCTATGTGTTATTTTGTTAAAAAAATGTCAAAATGTTAAGTGTTAAATACAATGACAATTGATGCTGCCCAAAATAACATTGTTTTGGAGCTGTTCTTAGCTCATCAGTAATTCAGCCTGTATTTATTCATAGTTTACTTACCTACCGACTAACCTATCAACAGTGCCATTCCTACACCCACGCTGTTAGCATGGTTTATGTAAAACAAACAAAAAAAAGCTGTAGCTGATTGTCTTGCCTCTCGTTATCACTAAACCCTCAGTAACTGAACAAATTAGTCTCAGGTCATTTGTGTACTTGTACTGGGATGACCTGCGGAAGTGGTGATGCAGCAGATTGTGATTTTGTTTTGATGAATTGCCAAAGGAGGCCAACGTCTATCTCATCTCTGCAGCCTGTTGAAATGGATCATCCCTTCTCCTCTCTCTTTCTACTCTTTTCTCAGCTCTTGCCGCTTCTCTTTGATCTCCTCTGAATAACCATGTGGGAGTAAGCTTGGCAATATACTGCATATTCCTATACAGCTATTGGTGGAGTTAATATATTCCCTTAATCCTCCTAAATTGGCTCTCCTTTTTTAATGAACCACACCATCTGGAGTGATGTTGTATGAGACTGCTGGGGAGGGTGGGTTTTTTTCTGCCATGCAAGAAACATCTGACTGACCCCAACTTGACCTGCAGGAGAGGTCAGAGACGAAAGAGAGGGGTCCGGTATAGTCAAGGCCAGAACTGATCACCGTGAAATTGCCTTACACTCTGAAGTGCCCTGGGCAAAGATAATTTAACTCTTGCATCATCCATCATATGCTCATATTACTGTATGACCTGCTTTTACTTAACAGGCAAAAGTGTTGCAAAACATTGTCGTTACCAGTCATTAATTCATCTCTGGGGTGAATAATATTTTGTATCTTTGTATATAAATATTGTTTGTTCTCACATCCCACATCGAATCATCATGATTCTAAATTTCTCTCTGCCTTCACCTTGACTCACACCGTTTATTCACATTCTGTTACAATGCAAATCTCCCAAAAGGCAGGTTTCCTTTTGCCTTGTTAACAAGATCAGTCTCCTGTTGCTCTCCCGCTATATTAATTCCTTTTTTAAGTATTGCTCAAGGCAGCTGAAAAAATGAAGTGTTTCATTTTGAAGTGTTGCCTTACCATGGAACTTTACTGTAATTTGACAGCTGCATGATAAATGTTGGTTGAAATGAAGTTGCATAGTAGGTGTTAATTAAGAGAGCAAACAGTACAGGTTTTAAAAAACTACAGAACTGTCTCAAGGGAAACTATGGCTTCATTAAGTTTAGTATGGGTCACAGGCAGACCTACTTGATTTGTACAAAAAGTATATTCCAAAAATGGCTGTTGTTGTGGCAGCAAAAAGAAATGTCGGAATAATGAAACAGTATGAAAAAAGTTGTTTTATCCACAGTATGAAGGGAAGGTCAAGCGCTTTTTGGAAGAACAGACAACTGACATGTTAATGTATAAGCCAAACTAGCCAGGAGTCGAACCTAGAATCTTACTAGACAGACGTGTTATCCATTGTGCCACTAGCCCTCTTTAAAACACATTGCTGGATCACCTGAGTTGTCACGGAATAGAATATCAACAACATTTGTATGTTGACGGAAGTCAAGTAAAATAAGGGCGGTCTCAACACATAGTAATAACCACTATAGGATAACAGCGATGAGGCTGACAAAGTGCTTAAAGATCCAGCATATTCAAGCTCCTGATTTTTGTTTGTCTCCATGGGCTGTGCTTAATGTTTGACAAAAATGAGTCCCACCCTGAACATCACTTTACTGGAGCTTTTGTAGCTCAGGCCATAAATGTAACACTCTCTGCTTAGTGAAGGTATTTTGATTTAAATGCTGAACAGGTAGATGTTTATACTTTGTTAAGGACAGATATTTGAGCAGTTAAAGATTTGACCGAGCTAGCCAGGAGTCAAACCTATAAACTTCTGATCAGACACATTATCCATTGTACCACTAGCTCTTTGTGATCAACTGAGTTGTCACAGAATACAGTGTCAACAGTTGTGTATTGATGTAGAAGACGATAGTCAAGTGCAGGAGGAAAAACAACTTATTTGTGCGAACTTGCCGTGACCCGGATTCGAACCGGGGTTGCTGCGGCCACAACGCAGAGTACTAACCACTATACGATCACGGCTGCTTGCTGAAGTGCGTGTTTGAGGACCCAAGATATTTACAGGCTCTTGAGTTCTACCTTGACTCCATGGGCTGTCCTCAGTGTTTGACAAAACAGATTCACAGCATAATCATACATTTACTGTCACTTTTGTGGCTTCCTGCAGCCACAACTATACCACTTACTTTTTGCTTGGTGAAGGTATTTTGATTTCCACTATTCACAGGTAGATCTTTATACTTGGTTCAGGACAAACATGTGAGCAGTTAAAGATTTGACCGAGCTAGCCAGGAGTCGAACCTAGAATCTTCTGATCCGTAGTCAGACGCGTTATCCATTGCGCCACTAGCCCTGTGTGGACCATGTTGCTGGATCACCTGAGTTGTCACACAATACAGTGTCAACAGTTGTGTCTTGTACACTGATGTAAAGGATGGCAGTCAAGTGCAGGGAGAAAAACAACCTATTTGTGAAAACCTGCCGTGACCCGGATTCGAACCGGGGTTGCTGCGGCCACAACGCAGAGTACTAACCACTATACGATCACGGCTGCTTGATCAAGTATGTGTTTGAAGACCCAGCATATTTATAAGCTTTTGAGTTCTGTTTAATTTCCATGGGTTGTCCTCAGTGTTTGACAAAATTGATTCAGAGCCTAATGATGCATTTACTGTCACTTTTGTGGCTTCCTGCAGCCACAACTATACCACTTACTTTTTGCTTGGTGAAGGTATTTTGATTTCCACTATTCACAGGTAGATCTTTATACTTGGTTCAGGACAAACATGTGAGCAGTTAAAGATTTGACCGAGCTAGCCAGGAGTCGAACCTAGAATCTTCTGATCCGTAGTCAGACGCGTTATCCATTGCGCCACTAGCCCTGTGTGGACCATGTTGCCGCATCACCTGAGTTGTCACAATACAGTGTCAACAGTTGTGTACTATACAATGATATAGAGGACGGCAGTCAAGTGCAGGAAGTAAAACAACCTATTTGTGAAGACCTGCCGTGACCCGGATTCGAACCGGGGTTGCTGCGGCCACAACGCAGAGTACTAACCACTATACGATCACGGCTGCTTGCTCAAGTACGTGCTTGAAGACCCAGCATATTTATAAGCTTTTGAGTTCTACTTCGTCTCCATGGGCTGTCCTCAGTCTTTGACAAAATTGATTCAGAGCCTAATGATGCATTGATTGTCACTTTTGTGGCTTCCTGCAGCCACAACTATACCACTTACTTTTTGCTTGGTGAAGGTATTTTGATTTTCACTATTCACAGGTAGATCTTTATACGTTGGTTGAGGACAGACATGTGAGCAGTTAAAGATTTGACCGAGCTAGCCAGGAGTCGAACCTAGAATCTTCTGATCCGTAGTCAGACGTGTTATCCATTGCGCCACTAGCCCTGTGTGGACCATGTTGCTGCATCACCTGAGTTGTCACACAATACAGTGTCAACAGTTGTATGTTGTACACTGATGTAAAGGACGGCTGCCAAGTGCAGGAAGAAAAACAACCTGTCTGTGAAAACCTGCCGTGACCCGGATTCGAACCGGGGTTGCTGCGGCCACAACGCAGAGTACTAACCACTATACGATCACGGCTGCTTGCTCAAGTACGTGCTTGAAGACCCAGCATATTTATAAGCTTTTGAGTTCTGTTTAATTTCCATGGGTTGTCCTCAGTGTTTGACAAAGTTCAGTCACGGCCTGATCATGATTTTACTGTCACTTTTGTGGCTTCCTGCAGCCACAACTATACCACTTACTTATTGCTTGGTGAAGTTATTTTGATTTACATTATGAACGGGTAGATCTTTATACTTGGGTTCAGGACAGACATGTGAGCAGTTAAATATTTGACCGAGCTAGCCAGGAGTCGAACCTAGAATCTTCTGATCCGTAGTCAGACGCGTTATCCATTGCGCCACTAGCCCTGTGTGGACCATGTTGCTGCATCACCTGAGTTGTCACAATACAGTGTCAACAGTTGTGTGTTATACAATGATATAGAGGACGGCAGTCAAGTGCAGGAATTAAAAATCCTGCATTGTTCAAACCTGCCGTGACCCGGATTCGAACCGGGGTTGCTGCGGCCACAACGCAGAGTACTAACCACTATACGATCACGGCTGCTCGTGCAAGTATGTGCTTGAAGACCCGGCGTATTTACAGGCTCTTGAGTTCTATTTAGTTTCCATGGACTGTCCTCAGTGTTTGACAAAGTTGATTGAGGGCCTACTGATGCATTTACTGTCACTTTTGTGGCTTCCTGCAGCCACAACTATACCACTTATTTTTTGCTTGGTGAAGGTATTTTGATTTTCACTAAGCACAGGTAGATCTTTATACTTGGGTTGAAGACAAACATGTGAGCAGTTAAAGATTTGACCGAGCTAGCCAGGAGTCGAACCTAGAATCTTCTGATCCGTAGTCAGACGCGTTATCCATTGTGCCACTAGCCCTGTGTGGACCATGTTGTTGGATCACCTGAGTTGTCACACAATACAGTGTCAGTAGTTGTGTATTATACAGTGATATAGAGGACGGCAGTCAAGTGCAGGAAGAAAAACAACCTATTTGTGTAAAACTGCCATGACCCGGATTCGAACCGGGGTTGCTGCAGCCACAACGCAGAGTACTAACCACTATACGATCACGGCTGCTTGCTCAAGTGCGTGTTTGAGGACCCAAGGTATTTACAAGCTCTTGAGTTCTACTTTGTCTCCATGGGTTGTCCTCAATGTTTGACAAAATTCAGTCACGGCCTGATCATGATTTTACTGTCACTTTTGTGGCTTCCTGCAGCCACAACTATACCACTTACTTATTGCTTGGTGAAGTTATTTTGATTTACATTATGAACGGGTAGATCTTTATACTTGGGTTGAGGACAGACATGTGAGCAGTTAAATATTTGACCGAGCTAGCCAGGAGTCAAACCTAGAATCTTCTGATCCGTAGTCAGACGCGTTATCCATTGCGCCACTAGCCCTGTGTGGACCATGTTGCTGCATCACCTGAGTTGTCACACAATACCGTGTCAACAGTTGTGTGTTGTACACTGATGTAAATGACGGCAGTCAAGTGCAGGAAGAAAAACAACCTGTCTGTGAAAACCTGCCGTGACCCGGATTCGAACCGGGGTTGCTGCGGCCACAACGCAGAGTACTAACCACTATACGATCACGGCTGCTTGCTTAAGTATGTGCTTGAAGACCCGGCATATTTACAGGCTCTTGAGTTCTATTTTGTCTCCATGGACTGTCCTCAGTGTTTGACAAAATTGATTGAGGGCCTGATCCTGCATTTACTGTCACTTTCGTGGCTTCCTGCAGCCACAACTATACCACTTACTTTTTGCTTGGTGAAGGTATTTTGATTTCCACTATTCACAGGTAGATCTTTATACTTGGTTCAGAACAAACATGTGAGCAGTTAAAGATTTGACCGAGCTAGCCAGGAGTCGAACCTAGAATCTTCTGATCCGTAGTCAGACGCGTTATCCATTGCGCCACTAGCCCTGTGTGGACCATGTTGTTGGATCACCTGAGTTGTCAAACAATACAGTGTCAATAGTTGTGTGTTGTACACTGATGTAGAGGATGGCAGTCAAGTGCAGGAAGAAAAACAACTTATCTGTTCAAATCTGCCGTGACCCGGATTCGAACCGGGGTTGCTGCGGCCACAACGCAGAGTACTAACCACTATACGATCACGGCTGCTTGATCAAGTACGTGCTTGACGACCCATCATATTTATAAGCTTTTGAGTTCTGTTTAATTTCCATGGGTTGTCCTCAGTGTTTGACAAAATTCAGTCACGGCCTGATCATGATTTTACTGTCACTTTTGTGGCTTCCTGCAGCCACAACTATACCACTTACTTATTGCTTGGTGAAGTTATTTTGATTTCCACTATCCACAGTATGTCTGTGAATGTTCTCATTCGCCCAGGTCATTGTTCTCTCTCTCTCAAATTAAATCGAAGGCAACTGGACTTGTATTTGTCTGTGGAAGACGTTTCGCCTCTTATCCAAGCGGCTTCATCAGTTCGTATGCATTGGTCTCTCTAGTCCGCACTAGTCTGACCGGTCAGGCTAGTGCGGACTAGAGAGACCAATGCATACGAACTGATGAAGCCGCTTGGATAAGAGGCGAAACGTCTTCCACAGACAAATACAAGTCCAGTTGCCTTCGATTTAATTTGAGAGAGAGAGAACACTATCCACAGGTAGATCTTTATACTTGGTTCAGGACAGACATGTGAGCAGTTAAAGATTTGACCGAGCTAGCCAGGAGTCGAACCTAGAATCTTCTGATCCGTAGTCAGATGCGTTATCCATTGCGCCACTAGCCCTGTGTGGACCATGTTGTTGGATCACCTGAGTTGTCACAC